AGAAACCGGATCGACGTGATGCTCAATAATCTTTGCTTCAACAGCTAACTCCCCAATATATCTGGCAACTTCGCTCATTTGTACCATGGCCTCGAATACCATAATGCCTCTTTCTTCATTTCTTTCTTCAAAGAAGTCAGTAGATTTTTGCCATTGTTCATTAGTTCCCTCGAGAGTCTACTCTAATTCACTGATTCTGACTTGACAACTATGCAAAGTTTTTTCAAGATCTCGGATTCATCTTCGTAGTGAAGCGCTCTCCTCATAACTCTCTTTAAGATTACGAGGTCCTAGACGAACCTTCTCTTGGAATAATGATTCTTCAAGTTGCAAGATGTAAGTATTAAACTCTGAGTTTTTGTTTCTAGACTGATCCAGATCCTCTTCAAGTTTTGTTCGTGCTTCTTGTGTCCTTTGATTAAGCTTTTGGATTTGCACATTTTTGTTTCTACATCGTTGCATCCAAGTGCTGGCCAATTCTTGCTCTACTTCAAGTCTGGTGTTGAAATTTTTCCTCTCAGACTCCTAGTTTTCCTTTTAAACATCGAACTCTTCAATCCTTTGTCCCCTAACTTCAAGTTTGGCAATCAGATTGTTCATTTCAGATTCAAATCCCTTTATCATGGTATTTTTCTCATCCTCAAATCTTTCAAGCATGCCATTCTTCATATTTTTTAATTCTTTGGCTCGATCCCTTTCTTTCTACATTTCATTCATAATCTCACGACTTTCAGCTTTGTGCTTTATAATTCGCTCCCTTTTATCAACCTCAAGATCTTCCATTTTCTGCTTTCCTTTCTCAAGGCTTTTGAGCAAACGGCTATTTTTTCCTTTCAAATCTTCAACTCGACATTTCTCGATGTTCAACTCTTTGGTCATCTGTGTTGTTGTTTTGCTTGATCCTGATGCTCTCCTGGATTTGTGTAGCTCATGGTAATTATTCTTTAACGTTCTAAATTCTCCATCAACTTTTTCTTTGTTTTCCTTCAGCATTGCACATTGTGCTGAATGAAAGTCAACGTCGATGCCCAGCATAGCTTTATCTCGTCTCATTTGCTCTAACTCTTTCGACCAACCTTCTCTTTCTGCTTCAAACTCAACTCTTATGATTTCAATCTCTGATGGGACTACCCGAAAGCGATCTTTCATAGAGATATCCTTATTTTGATCTGGTAGGGGAATATTTTCATTTTTCCTAACAGACCTCCATTCCTCATAATCAGGAGTTAACATTATTTTTGTTGATTTGACTCGAATACAGAAAGTTGTTTTCCAAGCTTTAACGACCTCTATGATGTTTCTTTTATAACTTTTGTTGTTAAATGCAAACTCAGATGAATGTAACCCAGTAGTGACATGAACAAATTGACGACCCTCGTACTGCCTTATAACCAGAAGTGGTGCATATCCGATTCCTCCCCACAAACCGAGCAGCATTACCCAGTTGTAGTCACCACATTTGTAAAAGGATTCCCTTTGAATTTGCCACGGGGCTCGCCAAAAGATGTCGTTACTTTGCAAATTTCGAAGGGCATTTATCTACATGTCTTTCGTAACTTCTTTCGGCCATTCTTGCTCCAGAAACTCTTTCAAAGGTGAATAGTTCGTACTAAAGCGACGGTAAGAGACCTTTTCTGTCCTAAAAAATGGCTACGGATCCATACATATAACAATTGTGTATATCCCGAAAATCGTCCACCTCCAGTCTTCTACAAGCGCTTAAAGATCGAAAAGTTTCTGCTAGGATTACAGAATCAGGATTGACCCTTTTTTATAGCTGCTCGAACAAATCTGCTACTGCAGCTTCAATGTATCCCAATGTTTTCGGGAAGATGACCATACCGTATATACCAAAAGCAAAGAGATCAAATCGTATTTTATCATCTGGATGACTCTAAATAATTTCTTTGATGTTGGTCCAGGCAATGCCTTCGCCCTCGCCCTTTTGTTTTGTACGGGCTACTACCCATTCCTCTCGTACTCCTGCAATCTTTGCTAATTTAACTCGGAAAGGTTGAGTTTTAACTGACCTTGAATAAATTCGATTCTCCAAAGCCCCTTCAATATGTAGCAAAGTTGTATATTCTTCAAAAGTAGGAACCAAATCCTCCTTATTGAAAGTGAAGCAATTATACCATGGATTTCATAATTGAATCAGGGCTCAAAGCAAGTCATCATCAACTTCGACATAGAGCAAATATGGGATGTCCCCGTAAGACTGATAGAACTACAGCTTTCTATTTGAATCCCAACTCTCCCAAATGCCTCGCAAATCTTGCATATCATTTCTTTTTAGAGAAACCGGAGCATAACTTGCTAAATCAGGTACATAATCATCCTGCAGACTGTCTCCCCCTTGTCTTTGTAAGTCTTCAGACCACTGTCTTACTTCTGAGTTTGGAACTATTTGATTTGAACACTTTTTATCCATAGATGAAGGTTTTCCAATGAGAAGATTAACTCGAAGATCAATACCTTTAATCTTGTATGATGCTATGCAAACAGCAAAAATAAAAGAAAACATAAAAAGAAATGAATTAGTTCACATAATAAAGGAAAAAATTAATTCACACATGCTTTCTATATAGCATACTTTAAATAATCTAAATTCACATGCAATTTATTTAGCAGGGAAATAAATAAATAAATAAAAAGGGAAAAAAGTTAAAATTCATTTCTCCTTCGTGTTCACCTATTTTGGGACAAAATTTTGGCATGGCTTCAGATCGGAAGAGTTTCTAGGGTTTATTATATGCAGAGTTTCAGTTCTAAGAGTAAAGGTACTTGAATTGTCCTTGTTAGTGCCCCCTTGGGTTGCTAACCCTCAATCCTAGTCCACTACAAACTTAAGCAGATCGAGTTCAATTCGAGGGGACACATTTCTCTATGCCTGACACGGAGAATAAATTCTCACAAAGACATAGAGCATATGAACCTCGAAAGCTACTTGCTAGGTCCGACACGGAGAATAAATTCTCACGAAGACGTCGCTTTCACTCCCACTTAAAAGGAACAAGCTTGATTATAAAGCTTATGTTATGCAATGCAAGTGATGTGTGTGAGGAGAAATGTTCAAACCTCTGACAAACAAATAAATAATGAAATTCAATACTTGAAAATAAAATAAAAACATTAAAAAATAATATATATAAATATTATGAAAATAATAAGTATATATAAAAATTTTGAAAAAAAAATTATAAATTAAATATATTAATTTTTAATTTCTAATTAATAGAGACAATTTATAATTAATTTAAAAGCTTGACTCATTCCCCAGTGGAGTCGCCAAGCTGTCGTAATCAGTTTTCTCCCGAGCACAATTTTACTTGGCGGAAAAAAATAAAACGAATAAATAAATTATTTTGATTTAAAAAATATTTTAGGAGTCGTCATTGACCTTTTTGGGTTAGGTAGGTCAAATACCTAAAAATAATCTTTTAAAATAGTTTTTAAGAAAACATAATTTAAAAGATAAACTGATCTGCGTATAACCAATAATTTTTAATAAAAAAATATTTGTGGTCGATTATGTTTAGGGAATGATTAGCACCCCTATAACACCCAAAATTGATACTCATTAATTATAAATTACCTATATTATTAGAAATTTAAAAATTCGAAGATATATTTAATTTATAATCCTATTTATTTCAAATTTATTATTATAATTTTAAGAAATTTTATTAATTTATATATACATATAAATAAGATATTATTTATTTAGAAATATTAGAAAAGGGCTTCTAGGTGCTTTAAGATAGTTCTTTTCTTTATATTAAAAAATAAATAAATATTAATAAAACATTTATCTAAAAATAATTAAAATATATATAATTTAAAATATTTATTTATTTAAAAATATCATAAAATGGACATCCAGTTGCTTTAAGACTGCCCTTTCTTAATATTGAAAAATAAATATTAAAATATGTTTAAAATGATTTAAAAGTAATTTATTAAATTTATAAATAGGATTTTAATAGAAATAAAATAAATAGATAAATATTATTTATTATATATAAATTTACATGATTAAATAATAATAATAATAATAATTAAATATATTAAAATAAACATATAAAATTCAAATATGGCTTAACAATGAATAAATAAAATTAAAACTATATATTAAAAAAACTTGTAATTAAAATAAATGAAAATATTAAAATTAGTGACTAAATTATAACATATTAAAATTAAATACCTAATTTGAAATTAATTATTTAAAATTACAGGGATTAAACATGCTATTTTACATTTATTTAATTTAGGGACTAAAATAAAATTATATCAAATTTGAATATTAAATTAAAACAAATTAAAACATGTTGTTCGGGACTAAAATATTATTTAATAAAATTATAAGGACTAAATCTATTATTTACCTAAAATATATATTATTTTATGTAAAGGACTAAAATAAATAAAATTAAAATTAACAAATCAAATTAAAAAGATCTAAAATTTGATTAAGTGACCAAAATATAAGATTATATAACTGTAATGCCAGCGGGTACCCATTATCAAAATTACAAAAAGGCCCTCACTAAAACTACGTCGTTTTGGTGAGGGTATTTAAACCCTATTATAGTCGGCCCTAAGGGCCATTTTCTCATTTGTTATTTCCTCTTTTCTCTCTAGCTAAGAGTTAAAAAACTCTCTCGTCTCTCTCTAGGATTCCCTCACCGGAGGGAATCCGATCATCAGCCGGCAGCTGTCTACCGCCGCCAATCTCACCGCTGGCCACCGCCTCCAGTGGCCGAAAAATATTATTTTACACATAAATAAAGCCCTAATTTTCCCAAGGCCGAATATGTCATTAGTTTCCTCTAAAAGACTCCTAATCGGAGTAGATCTAAGAAAATACCTTCGGTATTTTCTTTTTTCCGGCGGCGTTTGATGTTTTCGGTGTTGATGCTTCAAGGGTAAGTTCTTCTTCTTATTCTTTCGAATGGTTGTTGTTGGTTTTCTAGCTTTCTTCGTTTTTTTCTTGGCAGGGGCTCGGTGGCTTTTATAGCCACCACCGGTGATGTCTTCGGACCGGGTAATAGAGCGGTTTTCAGTGAGTCACTAAACTATGTGGTGACTCACCCCATAGCTGCGACGTGGACGGTTAGAGTTGAACTCTCTAGAGCCCTTGGTTTGAACGTGGCAGCGGCTGAAATGGAGTGGAGCGGCGACAAAAGCAACGGCGGCGGCGTGGCCCTAGGGTTATGATACCCTAGGGTTTCAAGCTGGTGCATCTGGGACCGTTGGATCAAGATTAGATCCAACGGCAGCAAGCAATGGCGGCTGGGAGTAGAGGGAAACCCTAATATGATTTTAAGGTTTAGCTAGGCCGATTGTAGTTGGGCCTGGCAGGGTTGGATCGGGCCTATGTTGTAAACGGGCTCTGATTTTGAGCCTGTAATATGTAATAATAATATTTATTAATAATAATAAAAATATAATAATAATAATAATAATATAATTATTATTATTATAATTATAACAATTATAATAATTATAATAATAAAAATAAAAATAAAACGGTCAAAAATTTAGTGTCTACACCATACATCGTATCTGTTCACTGCTATACATATTTAGCGGAGCAAATGAAGGGGCTTGACTTTGGCATTGTTTGCATCAGACATCTCTTCGGGAGTTGACCAGCCTTGGTATTAAAAATGCAGAAAATATTGCAATTCCAAGTGTTCGAAATGATGTAAGAATCACAACGCTCATCTTCTAGTTGGGATTATCTCACAGTGTCGTTCATATTTTAGAGTCAATATGGCAATCATTGAGCTAAGCACAGCTAAAAATTTGGAATTCGGAGCTCAAACATGGATAAAGCGTTAATTTCAAATTGCTGCTCCTGTGTTTGATATGTTTGAGTTGTGACAGGCAGCATTCCTTTTCACAGTAGTTGGGACAACAGGGTTTTTGGGAGTTCTTGCTGGCCAACTTCCTGGGGTAATTTAACTCTATATATGATCTCTTCTCTCCTTCATCATTCAGTGTCTTGACCACATACTTTTATCTATGCATTGTCATTGTTTTCTTTGATGGAGCTGTAAAATAGTGGATATGTTTGTGGTTCACACTTTGTCACAGGATTGGGGCTTCTTTGTACCATATTTAATCGGGAGCATTTCGTTGATAGTGCTGGCAGTGGGGAGCATTTCGCCTGGGTAAGTCTAATGCAAGAATCCCATGGTTTCTAGACTGTCTTTTAATTTCCTCTTACAGGCTTCTTCAAGCTGCCATTGGAGGCTTTTCCACATTCTTCCCTGATTACCAAGAAAGGATTGCTAGACATGAAGCAGCTCATTTTTTAAGTAATCTGTCATCGCATATATAAGATCCAATGACATGTGAATTCATATGTATATATACTCACATACATATACTCCTTTGTATGTAGTTGGCTATTTGTTGGGTCTTCCTATCCTGGGGTATTCACTAGATATTGGTAAGGAACATGTCAATCTCATCGATGAAAAGCTGGAAAAACTTATATATAGCGGACAACTTGATGCTAAGCAGCTCGACAGGTACCGATTTGAATAATCTGAAAGCTTATATATAATTATATATGTAATTATTTAATGTCTCAGGTTGGCGGTGGTTGCAATGGCTGGACTTGCTGCAGAGGGTTTGAAATATGAAAAAGTGGTGGGTCAATCAGCTGATCTTTTCACTCTCCAGGTTCTACAACAAGTCTTTTCGCCAAAGTTGAACAAGGTTTCATATGTAGTTTACCCATGATACAACTAAACTATGGTTTGTATTCTCTTTAGAGATTCATAAACAGGAGCCAACCAAAACTCAGCAATGATCAGCAGCAAAATTTAACTAGATGGGCAGTAAGTTACTCAACTTATCCCTTCAGCTTTCATATCATGACTTGATCTCATTTGGGCGATAATAGGAGAAGTGAAAGCTAGTATTAAAAGGTGAAACTAATACAGGTTCTGTTCGCTGGATCCCTGTTGAAAAACAACAAGGAGATCCATGAAGCTTTGATGTCGGCAATGTCGAAGAAAGCCACTGTATTGGAATGCATCCAAGCAATTGAGAATGCTGCATAGGTTTTGCCTTGCAGTTCCCTGTAGTATTTTGCTTTCAAGTACCCAAATGATTGTAAAAGGATGTCAAATGTACAAACCTATGTTGCACGGATACGGATACGGGGACGGATACGGATACGGGGACAGATACGGGGATGGGGACGGGGACGGAAAACGGCAGTTTTTAAAATTACAGGGTACGGGGACGGCAAGGATACGACATATAAAATAATTTTAAAATTATAAATATATATAAAAAATTATAACTGTCAACCATATCTAAACTATGCTTTAGAAGTTCCTCTTCTAAGCCAGACACACAGAACCTCTTATCAAACAAATTACTAACCGAACTCTTAGGCACCTTATCGACCTCCATTGGCACCCCAATATATATGGGAAAAAGGGATAGCCATTATCAGGTGAAGAATGAAACTCTGCTTTCAATGAAACCACTGCCTTGTTATTTGCCTTGGCTTTCCCATTGGATTTAGCAGCTGAAGACTTAACTTTCCCACTAATTCCCTCTTTTCCCCATATCTTTTTCGACAGTTCAAATGCATTATGTTCATGGGCTTTAGAGAAACTTCGATCCTCACCCTTTTTACCTTTCCCGGCATTGTTCTCAAACTTTTTCTTTAACCTTCTAATCTTATCCATCAATTGTGCTTTCGTAACATCAGTAATTCAGTATGAATCGATTTCTTAACAAAATCATAAAATGCATTCATATCAACACAAGGATCAGCCTCTTTTTAGCAGAGTAATCCAACATACCTTTCAACAGTCTCGGATATGGGTTTCTTCGCGTTCATGTCTTCCATGGGTTTCGTCGCAAGAGGCTTGACATTCGGCGTAGCCGTGTCGGATTCGGATTCCGACTAAGTCCCGGATTCCTCATATTCTTCATTCCCCGCGACGGCTATCGCAGGATCAAGCTTCCTGGGAGGTGGGCTCTTTTGGATCAATGGAGTAGACTGGGTTTGGGGTTCTTCATCCTCTTCTTCTTCCTCGGCTGAAGATCCCACTTCTTCGTCCTCGGAGGTTGTCTCCTCAGCCAAAATTACCTTTGGGTACGTCCCCGAAACGTCCCGGATAAGCTTTGACCGTCCCCCATTTCGGTCAGCCGTACCCTGCCACCGTGGCACGTCCCCGGTACGTCCCTCAGCCGTCCCCGAACCGTCCCCGTACCCGAAACGTATCGGGTACTTGAAACGGGTCTCCTTTGCCGTCCCCGTGCTTCTTAGGTACAAACACTAAATTACTTGGTATAGACTGCTTACATACTTCAACCAACATGATGCTACTGAATACAGATAACTACTAGTAGCTGCTGAAAACTTGCAAAAGTAGAATGATTGCAGAAACCTGCAACTTGGGTAGTCACAGGAAGATTCAAGCACAAATATTCTAAGCTAGGTTATGAGTTCAAGCTGAAAGCAGATGGGATTTGAGTTTCGGGTCCTCTCCATGAAGCTAGTGACTGATTCATCCATTGTAAGTAGCAATCATTGCAACAAGCATGCATCTATCCAGAAAGTAAAACTTTAACGACAGATAGAAATGGAAGGGCATCAAGCCTTTTATTAGTTTATAAGTAAGATTTTACTCTTAAACCTCGATCATCAGAAAAACTTATTCAAAGCTACAGTGTGTTTTTCGACACATGATGAGGGGTGGCCAAATCTAAAATCACGTGCAATTATTAAAGAAAAGAAATATATGAAGCTTTCAGGATCTACATTCGTCCATACATGGAAAGCATATCCCTTAACCTCAAGGCTTCAATTTCCAGGGAATCAAAACTCATGGACTTAGGTATCCTCCAACCCCAGTTTCCTTGCTGCACAACAACAGGTTACATTGAGATTTGGGGAAATCGGTCTTAGTTTGAGTATAGAAGACACTTATAATGCACATATTACTTTTTTTTCCCCCTGATAAATATGAGAACGTAATTGCATCAAAAGAAAAAAAGAAGAAAGAACTTAGAAAGGGAAGAATAATAAACTTTGCATCAAGTTAAAACAAGGAAGATTTTGCCATGTATCATCCGAGTTTAAATTAATCAACCACAAGGGGCAAGGTATTGCTCAATGTCCTAGATGCATGAACCTGAATTACCCCATGCTACAGAACACTTATATGCACACATGAGAAGAAATTATTTACCTGTGCTGCAGGAATGTTCATCCTGGCAGAACCGTCTAGCCCAAGAACATCCTGCATGGTTATGACAGAAGTTTGAGCTATTGAAGCAACCGCAGCTTGGATCAGTGCCCATGAGATCTCATCTTTCTCAGTGATACGAAGAAATTTCAATACCTGGGACAAATTTTTGATGTAAAACAAATACAAATTATAAATCTGATCAGAAGCTTTAGAATAACAAAGGAAACTCACATTGGACCTCTCTTGTTCCATCAAATTGCTCCACCAACCTTGGATCTATGACATAATCAAAAGAACAATTACTATACAACTTCCAAGGATTTGGTAAAATATTTTTTTGTCAAACCATATAACAATATGCATTAAGCTCGAATATATGACTATTGTCTTAACAAATTTCACACCTCATCCCTCTCTTTCATTTTATATCCTTACTCTTCTTCCTCCATATATATATTCTAAGATTGAGACAATTTTCTAGATTTTGAAGTTTGTTTCAGATATTTGTTTTCTAGACATGGGTGATTCCCTTACTAATTACTAACATTGTTTTGTGTAATTTTTTCAATAATTTTGCTGAAACTTGAAATGAAGAGGTACTTCTGAGTTTTGTCTTCACTGGTTTTGTTTTTTAATTGATATTGTGATTTCCATTATTCCATATTTTAAATGCTGTCCTTGTTTAGTTTCGAATTACATTTGATTAATGAAGTTTATTCAGATGGAATAAAGTTCACAAAAGCACCTATTATTCCTAGCATGCAGCATGCCAACTTTCAAGTATCCAAGATACCAAAAATGGATTAAGGCAAGAACGAAGAACCTTTAAGGACCTGTACCGTGTCATTGTCATGTGTTCCTGTGTACACAACTTGATTTGGCTCATGATTGTGAGGTAAATGAGGGTTTCTGGAGTCACAACCAAAACCTAAGTCGATAAAATAGGACAAAACTACAATATCACAAAATGCCAAATCAAAAAGCCATAGTCGAAAACAATAATTTAAAAAGATGGTATCACAGTTGACTAGTGGCAACATATTAATTACCAAACTGGAGAACAGCCATTCCAGGGGCTCCAATATATTTCCTAAGCTGAACCACATCCTCAGTTATAACTCCCTGCCATGTGATACACAAGAGGATGAGAGTTTGCAAAGGAGAAAATGAACTACAGAGTTAAACAAAACGTTCTTCTAGACCCTAAAAATCCTCAGCGTTCTTGCTAAATAAATTATTTCTTGAAGTATCTATTTTCCACTTTCCTTGGAGAAGGGATTAGAAAATAAAGCTGCAGCAAGAAATAGAAAGAAAAATGATATAAGTTTGTATTATATCAAGCAGAACATACCAGATCTTCAGCTATAATATTGATGGTTCCAACTGCTCTGTAGATGCCATCAAATAACGATTTTTGAGGACCGACCTACTATCATGGAATATCAGTAATGGAAATGGAAAATGGGACAATTGAAGAAAATTTTAACATGGTCAAAATCTGAAAACCCGACCTTCCATCGTCCAATCGTAGCAACTTTTGCTTCTGCATAGATTAATTGTCTCAGTAACGTGGTTTCCAGTTTGTCACATTTATAGCAAGCACCATTCATTCAGTATAGTTTACAACTCACCAGAAGGGACGGCCCAAAAGCCAGCAAATCCTCTAAAGTGATCAATCCTGAATGCATCATATAGATTCTGTGCACGTCTAATGCGACGTATCCACCATAAAAATCCATCTTTCTCCATGGCCTTCCAATCATATAGAGGGCTGAAATAAAGGACCTTAATCAAAGATGACTAGTGCAGCAAAAACCAAGCATAAATTATTAAAGTGCAAACATAGCCTAAGAGAAAATAAGAGATGGATATCAGGATAAGCAAAACATCATACAGATGTTTAAATGCTATAACTAAAATAATTTGTTTGAGTTTTAACCATAAAAAAGTATTGAATAAAGGAAAACAAATCTTGTTAGGAAATCGAGAAGACATGCTTAGCAATAAAATAACAGGCGAGGAATGTAAAGAAAAAATGCAAAACACTCTTCAGGTGCATAAATTGGATTTGTAATGTATCTCCAAAATGAAAATGAAACCATACCCTTTTTTACTATCATGGGTAAAAATAGTTATGAAAAACTAGATTGTTTATATAACAAGCATGTTAACTTGTTTTTGGTCAGTACAAACCTCCCCCACAGCTGACCAGTCTCACTGAAGGCATCAGGTGGAACTGACTAGCAATGGATAGCCATGCCTATTCTGTGAAAGAGAACATAAAACTTGTAGCCAAAACCAACAATAGAATGATTTGGAGCATGGTTAAATTATTCTTGATCATAAATAAACTCCTCACCAGCAGAAGAAGATGTTTCTTATTTGCCCAAACATCCGCACTATGATAATCTACATAGATAGGCATGTCTCCCATTATTCTGATTCCTTTAGCCTGTGCATAGCTGCGAATATTTTGCCACTGCCTTTAGAACAGGAATTGTTTAGCAATAAACAAGTCTATCTGTCAAAAGAAAGCAACGACAGCTAGCAATATTAGCATCTAAATTAGGTAGCTAGTGTATGATGCCATTAAGCCAGTATTTTTAATAAGAGAGATCCAGATCGTACGAAATCATTCTTTTCCTTATATATCCTTTCGAAGGCTGCAAGATGGCGTTTTTTCAAAGGTTCAGGCCAATCATACCAACTGAATGATTTTAAATGGCCATCGATAGCAGCAAAAAAAGCTGCATCTTCAAGCCAACCTAAAAAATTTATAAAAAAAAATCATAAAGAAAGGCCTCCAGTTTCACAAAAGTTAAATTCAAAGGTAATGGAAAGGAGCGTGATAAATCAGTACATCAAAAAGAAACAAACCCCAATACTTTTAC